GATTAACAAAAATAAATATCTCTACAAGATATCGATATGAAATAAATAAAACTTAATAATAGCCTAAAATTGTACAGAAACACAACAATTGGAAAATTCAATTTTAAAATTTAGTTTATTAAAATATTTTTTTTAGCAGTAAGTATAGGTTTTATAATCGATATTTCTAAATATAATATTCGTGATTTTATTTTTGTACGTTTTTCGGATCTTGGAGAGCTTATTTTAAATATCAACTAGTTATAATAGTAAAATTAAACTATATTCACGATATAATTCTGTTTTCTCTAAATGTGTAATATACTAATGTAAACATATTGTTGTTTTATATATTATGAAATTAATTGGCTTTTCCTTAACTGAATGTTTCTTTTATATGACGTAATTCCCATTTCCCATGTTTGGATTTATACATTGTACTTGTAATTAATGCTTAGATAAATTTAATAAAAAATATACTCATACAGTATTGATTATATAAAAACCTTTTGTTAAAATTTTAATTCAATTCAATTAAAATTACAAGTTTATAATTCTCACTATTTATTCTTAAGTAACCCTTTGTAGTTTGAATTTTACAGTTTGTCAAAAAAATGATAAAATTATGTTTTTTAGTGGCAAGTGGTTTATAAAGTTTGAAAATGGTGACCAAAAAAAAAAAAAAAATTCGCGATTTAATTACAATTATATTAATTAGATACAAATTAATATGAATACATTTGGACATAAACAATAGAAATTTTACTAGATATAATAAAACTAAATTTAATATCAACATGAAATGTAGTATTATTAATGATAAAGAATCCAAAATAATAAATATTTTTATAAYACTTCAGACAAATAAAAATTTTAATACATAATTATTAATTAAAAAGAACGTAGGTGTGTGGAGCAAAATTAACTTCCAAATTAGAGATCAAGTTTATAAAACATATGAACAAAATTTAAAAAAYTTAGTKGATTTAAAGACAATATGAGAATTAATTATCTTTCATACATTTTGAACTTTGACAGATTTTATTTGAAGGCGTTCTTCCTTGGTCAGATTATTTTTAGTATTCTTTAAGCATAGTTGCTTAATGAGAAATTTCCTATTTCCTATTAAGAAAATGTAAATCCTTTGACTTAAGATCTTAGTACAAGCATTTCTRGCGTTTAAATTAAAACAAAAATAAACTTTGAATATTGATCACATAATAGACGATTTACATAAAGAAGATATCTTTTTTTTCCTATTCAGCCAATTATTCTTAAAGAATTTTCACACAACTTCTTTATCTATTTTTTCCAAAATAAATTTCTGGAGGGTTAGTGGAGTTTATAGTTAATAAAATCTAGATTCTATATTGAATTCTTATGTTTGGTATTTTTATATTTTTTATATCACATTTTCCTAATAGGTTTTTGCTTTAACGGTTAATAAATAAATATTAGGTTCACGGTAAGTACTACTTGTTATAGGTAAATCTAATTTGATGATTTCCTCTAGTAAAATACCATAGTTTTTGAAATCAATAGCTCAAGATTGGGAATTTTCAAACTAATCAAATTATTATCAATCAATAAATGCTAGCATGAGTCCTAAATATACATATCTACGTCTTCATGGACATAT